TATAAGAAAGTACAAATCATTTACTTTAATTGTGATTTTGACTTAGAAGATATATTATTACATTTACAATTCTTGTATATGGAAAGAAATATAGTCGTTAAATCATATATTATAACAGCTAGTGATAATAATATATATTGTTATATATCATTAAACAAATCTGTATCGATAAAAGATAATACTTTTTTTGATATTGATTGTTTTGATATTAAATTTCATCCTGTTGTTTACATATCTCGTACAGAAAAATATATCAAATCACTTAAAAAGATAACAAATTTATTTCAAATATCATGTAATATTTATTAACAAATATAATAAAGATATTTCTACTCAGTACATATTACTGAGTAGAATTTTATTCACGTAATTTTATTTAAAATATTAATTAAATATGTCTATAATCATTCTATTTGAAAAAAAATTACATCATTATCTTAATTTCAATATATACTATTTTGATAGACAAGAATTTAAAAGATTAATAAATAATTATTTTAATAATGAAAAAACAATTCTTTTAGATATTTTTTATTTCAATATAAAAAAAAATTACAATACACAACAAGATAAAGATATTCATATTCAAGGATGTTTTATTTTATATAATCAAATGCTAATAGGATCTTACCTTAATATAGAAGATAAGAAAGATGAAAAAGTTTTAAAGAAAATAGAACATTTTGAAATTAAGAAATTATTAAAGATTCAAAAAATTCATTTTGATGAAGCAAATGCAGATTTTGATTATTCAATTTCTTATTGCAAGAAAAAATATAATCGTTGTTTTAAATATCATAATCAGCCAAATTCAAATGATTCAGAAAATAAAATAATGAGATGTAGATATGATTTTCAAAAATTAAATGATTTTTCTAAATGTAATTGGTATGATATTGACTGTTGTTCAAAGAGAACATTAGCTAGGTATGACAATGAATCAGGTTTTTTTGAATATAGAACATATAAAACTAGTTCAAAAAATTCAGAAGAAAAAAACCAACATCAATCTTTAAAAAACAAAAGATATTTGATAATAGATGAGGAAATATTAGCAATTGGAATAATGAATAATTTAATTGATGGAAAAATATCAGGTGATGAAGTTACTGTAAATTATGCAAAAGATCAATTGAGATGGGTTGTTAACAATGGATCAGCAAATATTTCTGCAATCAGCAAAGTAGTAAAAAGTTTAGAAAGAAAAAAGATGAAATGATGTTGGAAACCCTGTAACATATTCTTATATTCAGATAATAGTCGTGTTGGAAAAGGATATCTATTATCTGTATTATTTCCAAATGTATATAAAAGAAGAAATAATGGTGGAAGATTTTGGCAAGGTTTTACAAGTTCACATAAAGAAGTTTTAGTAAACGAATTCAAAGGTCAAGAAAAATATTTAGAAACGTTGAATCTTTTAGATTGTAAGGAATATTCTGTTCAGATTAAAGGTTCTGATATTAATTTTTGCCTTTTTGTGATTGCATATACTGCTAATACAAGTATTCAATTCATATATGACTTTTGTGAAGATGAACATTTAAAACCTAAATCAGAACAAAATAATAATAACACTAAATTATTTAGTGTATTTGTAAATTGATATAATTATATTATCGAATTTAAAAAATTTAGAGATAATGATAGAAAACTATATAAAAATAAATGTTTTTGTTATCAAATTCGTATGATTTTTCATAAGAGTGATATTGAAGATTTTTTTAAATTTAAATTTGAAATTAAATTTAATTATGATGTTATGTTAGAAAAAGCAAAAAAGATTGTTAAAGGAAGATATAGAACTATAGAAAAATTAGATAATATTCTTTATTATCATGATGAATATTTAGTTGATAAAAGCAAATATATCCTAGGACCTATTAAATTATATTATTCTGATTTATATATTCCTGATAGTAGAATTTATGTTGCAGATAGAGCAAGAAGAAGATTGAAAGAAAATCCTCTAGGTCATAAACATGGAATTCCATCTTTAGTTGTTGAATTTCCTGAAATTATTCAAAAACTAAAGAACAAATATGAAAGAAAAGAACGAAATATTCTTTTTCAACGATTACGAAAGGATAAAACTACAGAAATTTTACAATCTAATAATATTCAAATCAAATCTTCATCTAAAAGAAAATATATAGAAATATTAGATAGTAGTAATTTTGAAACAGAAGAATTAAAAATACAAGATTCTGAAATTAATGCAGATTTAGAATATAATTATGATTCTGATATTTATTCTACTGATTCTGATTATACTCGTACAATAAAAAAAAGAAAATTCAAAGCAGTAGATAATTTAGAAATTGATATTAAACAAGCAGCAATTCAAAGTAATAATGAGAAATTAGAAATTGATATTGAACAAGTAATAATTCAAAGTAATCATGAGGAATTAAATAAAAATAATATAGAACAAAATATTATAACTAATGAAGAGATGCAAGAAGAAATAGAATTAGATATAGCAGATGAAGAAATATATCAAGAGTTTAATAGAAAAAATAGAAATAATCCAGAATTCAAACATATGAAAAGTTTATTTAAAACAGTATAAAATTGTTATTATATTAATTTGTATCTTATATATTAAATAAATTATATTTGTATTATTATTTTTATTTTAATAAATCTAAGAAATCATTTTATAAATTATCATCATGTTTACGTCTATATATGAATTCTTGTAAATATTTTTCTATAAGATGTTCTTTTCTATTTTTCTTTGATATAAAAATTTTGAGTCCATTCCAAGTACCTCTAAAAAAAAAATATTAAATATTATTTAAAATATTAGTTTG